GTTGCCTGAAGATATGGCGTGCGCAAGGACTCACCGGAGCGTGTACTCTCGCATAGCTTCCGTCACTTCGGACGTGACGAGGCGCACAAGACCTTTGCTAGCTCTGTTGCCAACCTTTTCAAACCTCTCTCTGGCCTCTTGCCAGACATCTTCGTCCGCATTTGTGACTTGCTCGTCCGAAGCGTTCTTAGAAGCACGCGCACCCACACCCGAAGCAAGCGGTCTCAAACTCGATCCGCCTCTCATCCCTCTCCTGACCAATTCTCCCAAAGACGCACCATCCAATTCCACCTCTTCCCTTTTGCCCGTCCAGCTTCTTCTGGTCTCTCGTGCCATTTTCGCCTCCGCCGTATCCATATTGAGATCCACGTTCAGCTGCATATTATGACCTTCTTCCGACAATCTTCTCAACGTTTCCACGACGTACAAGCTGGAAAGGAAGGCTTTGAGCAAACGAGAAGATCCTCGAAGTCCACGAACCATGTCGCTCTCGCTGCTAGAATCCTGAGACGCTATCCCACCGGGCAAGGCTCGTGCAAATGCGCCCGATAAAGACTCGAATGCATCTAGAGAACGCGTCAAGCGTTGATGATACGTCGACAACAGATCATCTTGAATAGCCAGGAAACCGAGTCGCTGCACGAGCAGCGTCAAAGGTCTGGACCTTTCCGATATGGCTTCGAGGATTTGACACAGCCCTCGAGCGGATCTAGTCGTCTTTTGCACGCCTCTTCGGTCTGACGTGTGATTGCTGCGATTGTTGCTGCTGCTACTGGAAATAGCAGACCAGGTCTGATTGGAAAGATCCTCCTCCGCCTCGGTATCCATATCCGCAGAGCTGATCAACCACGCATCCTTGTCTTCCAAAATCTCTTGCAGTCGTTCTTGAGCTTCCGTCCTTTCGCCCTCCAACCAAGCATCAAACGTTGTCGAATCTCCCAGCAATAAATCCGAAATCTTTTCCGCTTTGCCTAACGAGGATGGATGAAAAAGCTGTTGGAGCTCGCTGTCGAATGAGAGCAGGATACTGACGGTGTGCGCTAAGACTGCTGGTTTCTTTTGCAGCTCCTCTTTGGACGCCAGTACCTTGAGACGCAGCGCAGCCAGCACAAAATGCACCAATTCTCTGGGCCCCACTTTGTGCAAGCCTCCCTGATCACACAACCAAGTGACCTTTCCATTTCTCGCATCAAAGAGGGAGTTGTAGGATCGCAATAGGTTGGACATGTGATTGACGTACCACTGAGGTTTGTCCAGTCGATTGGTGCTCTTGTCTCCGTCGAAGTGATACGCAAAGCGGGCTAGCAGAGGTTCCATCAGTACCTTGACGGGCGCAAGCGGCGTATAATCCGTCGATCCAACCTTTGCATCGCTCTGAGCGTCATAAGAAGCTTTGCTGATCAATTTGGCACGAATGGCCACCCTCTGCAACCTGCAAAGCCGTTGCCAAGCCTGCTTGACCCGCTTGCTATCCAAAGTTGAAGATGCGCTGCGAATCGCTTCTCCTCGCGCTTCGGCGATTTCTGCAGAGACGGGCGGCCAGCCGGATTCTTCCAGTGCGCTTCTCAACTTCGCTTCCAGCTTTTCGTTGAGTTCTCTCAGTGCCGCGTCCCTCGTAGCCGTCAAGTAGGCCATCAGCGCAGATCCTTGATCGATCGCATCTGCTCCCGCATACGCCTGTCCGGCTTGCCCGACTAGAGAGGAGAGGCTTTGGAGAGCTTGCAACCCCGCTTTTGCGCTTCCGTGTTGATCCTCTGCTCCTCTCAGAGTGTCCTGCTTGAGCTGTTCTGCACGCGCCAATAGCGCCACAAAGGGCACAGCCTTGTCCGCTCGCATCAGATCTCTTCTCTGTTCAGTCAACCGTCTCAGCAGTTCAGGCACTCGTTGTTGCCCCCACTCATCCAACAATCCCATGGACGAAGCGAGTGTCATGACCTCATCCTCAACCTCTTCGATTTGACGAGGCAGATCGCTCAGCGCCTGCTTCTCTTCGAGGGCGCAACGCTGCGCTTCGAGCAGCTCTTCGACCAAGGCTGATCGACTGGAGTGCAGCGATGCTTCACAGCGGGGAAGGATGTCCGTCTGAAGGGAGTGCAGCGCGGATGAGAGGGAGGAGGTGCTAGGTGCGCTGGAGAGCAGAGGGTGAGACAGGAGAGAGGCGTAGGTGAAAGCTTCTTCGGAAGCCGGACTGGATTGCGCGACCAGCGATTCCATCTTGAGGCTGCTTTGATGTGAAGCAGATGCACGAGAGAGGGTGGGTGGGA